TTTACTATTTATTTTATACTTATATGATGATCGTGACTTAAATTGTATGTAAAGATCCAATTATGTAAAATAAATTGGTTATTATTTTATTTACGTTTTTCTCGATACCCTTATACTAAAATCTTTAAATATGAAGCACAATATCTAATGAAAAAAGTTTATTGCCAACCACCAATTAGCCCTTCTTACGAACCACGATTCCTGAAAGGAAGTTGAAGAAACCTTCCACTCTACTCCCCAGCTTTGCACTTTAGTACAGGTTGGATGGACTGCCCATTCCCACCAGCATTAATAAATGGTGGGAAAGAGTGATGAATAAAGATCGAGTGAAAAATAAGATCACTGGGTAGAAAATTTAAGGATTTCCAATGAATGACAATTAATAATTTAAAGAAAATTACTTAATGCCAATTTTGTATTTATCACTTTTGAGGCACCTGAGCCACATTCATTCTTTTCTATTAGTAATTACTATACATATATATATGTTAATAAAGCAAATTTTGTGTGCAGGTCAGGTATTTACACGAAAAATATTTTCTTTTCTGAAAAGGTAATTTATTTTATGTAAATACTTAGTGTTTTTAAAACTATTGTCAAGTTGGAATGATTCAATAACAGATACAAGTAATGGACGTGACGGAATTGACACAATATTTCAGTGTAATTATCGAAAACTTTTCCTTATATCGTAAACAATATTGTTATGTTATGTTTAGTATTTTATAAGTTCGTCTCTTGTTTCAGAAAATAATTGGTCCTTAAATAAGTTAGTATCATTAATAAAACGTTTAAAAGAATGTCAGAAAATAGGGAAAAAAGGTAAATAACGTTATAATTAATTAGCTTGTTTATTTTTTAACATAAAAAACATTGTTATTAGGACGAACGAATCATTTTTTATACAAAGTGATTCTGTTCGTTTTAAAGTACCAGAGAATGAACCTATAGCAGTTCCACCACTTATTGAAGAAGGTTTACCAGATCAAGTTTACAGTGTACATCAACCAGTTCTTATGAATCACTACCCCATTCTTCAGAACTACCTTACAGATGGGGTACAACAACCTACTGTTGTTCAATCTCAAAATGATCAGAAACTTGTATATTTAATTGTTCCCAGTGACAGCAGCCAGACTGATAATTTACAGCTAAAAGATGTGCAAACTGTTCCTACATTACTTGTTTTACCTAAGGAGTTACAAAATTCTGCCAATGAAGTACAGTATGTAATTCAAACAAGTGATGTTAGTAATGATCATGTAAATTACAACAACACCAACCAAGACAGTGAAATAACAATAATAGAACCAAACGTTGAAAATAAACCACAGTCAGATAATGCAACAGACCAGCAGTATGTCTATGTGTCTACAGATTATAAAGAAAGTGAAAAAAACATTGCAAAAAATTCAGCACCGGCACTAGAAAATAACAGTAAAGTAAATTTAGGACAGAAAAAATTTTATAGTTACAAAAATCAGTATAAGTGTGAGTATGATGGTTGTGGTGAGTTGTTTGCTTCTGTGTATGAGAAAAAAAATCATGCAGAAGTCCATTTATTTCCTGAGAACACTGAGTTTAAATGTAGCATTTGTAATGCTACATTTTCCAAAGCCATTGAAAGAAATAAACATATTGATTCACATTCGGTTGCAGAAACATATAGATGTAAATCTTGTCAGAAAAGCTTCCCTTATTACACTGCCCTTGTAAAGCATATCGATGAACAAAAATGCTCAACAGGGAAGTCATTGAGTTGTCATTTCTGTGGTGCAAAGTTTTTGAATCAGAAGGATTTGGAGAAACATCAGAAAGTTAGCATAAAAATGTGTGTGTGTAAAACAAAAGTTTGTGGTGAGTCAGCTTTTATTTCCCACAGTGGTACGTGCAGTAGTTACTTGCAGAAGAAAAATAAACTCAAAAAAGGTCACATTCTTCGAAATTAAAAATTTATCTTTCTAGAAAAATTCTCTCCTGTAAAATAATAGTTAACTTGGTTTTATAGTAATGCTAAATATATTTAATTAAATAATTATAAGTGACACAATTTGTAGACATAATGTAAATTTATATACTCTAAGAAATAAAATATTTCTAAAAAGTTACCATTGTGCTATTATTTTATTAATTTCTTAAAAGTAAATCATTTCACTTTGTGATTTCTTTAAACTTTTCGGTTTGTTTTTTTTTTATTAAAAAGCTACTTCCAAGAGGATGTTTTGTTACACCTATCCTATTGCTCTAGAAAAATGTAAAAAAGGACGAAAATTTAGAACAAAATAAAAATTTATTTAAAATACGAATAGTTTCTGAAATTATTACATATTGTATATATTGTACCATGTGTTAACCAATAGATACGTTGTATGTAATTGGTTTGATTTTTTCATAAAATTGCTAAACACCGATTTAAAAAGATCAAATTTTCGCGCGAGCAAAATCCGGGATAGTCAGCTATTTAAAAATAAGGGTTGACGCATGCGTTGTGATCTTACCTTGATCTAACATACTTGAACCGCCATTTTAAGTTTCATTGCAAATAGCGCCCTCATTGGTTAAATTTACAGTTTTGTTAGTGGTAGTGATGTGACAGGAGAATTTTTATTCTTTGCAAATTTTACAAATAAAATGAGTATATATTAGCTGCCTATAGCTAATAACATTATTTAAAATGTTAATTAAACTTTGTTATTGTGATTAGTTTTGTGTAGAGTGTAGTTTTGTAAATGCGTTAGTAAACAGTTAGTTTTCTGTGCCATCACGCCATATTTGTTTATCATTATTATATTTCAGTAAGACAAAATTTGGGTTGGTTTAGAAATGATTTAATATTTCGTTGTCCATTTTAGATTAATTGCAAAATGCACATTGATTCTGTTTATGGATGTTTTGTTTAAATTTTTGTTTAAAGAAATTTACGTTAGGCTGTTTATGAACTTAAGCTTCACATTCCTTATTAACTAACTCTGTGTAGTATACAAAAAGCACTTCACGATGGATAGTTTATTCTTTCCACCCTTACCTGTACCAATGATAAAAAATGAATGTGAAGAAATTATAATAGATGAAGGTATGATAAGCAGATTTATAAAAAGATGAGCTGGTGTCAAGTTATTGTTTTTGTTATAGAGTGTTCAGATGATAGTGGTGGTGAAGACAAGACAGATTCGTGGGATAAAGAAATCCGTAAAAAGATAGCAAAACTAGTTGTGTACCAAAATGAAAAAATTTTCAATGCAGTTGTTGAAGAATATTTAAGGTAAGTGTAATTGTATCTATACTTGACAAAATGATTAAATTGCAAAGTACAAATATTTATTTAACACCAAACTATTATGATACAGTAATCCTTAATTAACTATTTCTGTGTAATTTTCTTGTATGGGTCATCATATTTATTACATTATAACTTATGTGTAAAGCAACTAATATTTGATACATCTTTTTTTCATTCTTCATATGCTGCGTGCGTCCTGTTCATATGTAACCTACTTTATATTTTTTTTGTAAATCAGCTTTTAAGCTCCTTTAAGTGATTTAAATAAATACATGAATAAAGTAAGAATTGAATTATGTATTAGAAATCAAATTATTGTTAAAAAGATGATTTAATCATTAAGGTGGTATTGAGTAAATATGTTAACTTTTTGTGATATTTCTTGTAAAGAGAACAAACACAATTCTAGAAGAATTATAAAAGTAACTTTCTTGAATGTTCTTGCAAATTTATTGTTACCATTTAAAAGTCTTTTCTAAAAGTATTTTCAAGTATAAATTAAATGAAGGAAAATTATTATTTCATTTTAAGCATATATCTTGGCATGGTAACCAGTTTTGTTTTTTGTTTCTAAGGTGTCTTTTTATTTTGTTATAAATTTGTTTTCTGACCTGTTACATTTGTGAATCTTAATCAAACTGTTAAAGTAAATCGTTGTGTCTCTTTATACTTTGTACAAGCTGATGCAGAGTCTACATCACTTAATACGAAGAAGCTGAGAGTTTTATGTTTCATATTTTTATTAACTGTTTGGAGTATTTTTTGTTTGGGTTGAATTATTTTTATTTTATTATTATTCTCCAGGTTGCTCAAACGACATGCTGTTTTTATTCAAGACAAACAAAATTTGTTAGATAAAATTACAAACCATATTCAGATGTTCACGTCATTTTATCATGAAGGACATGAAAATTCGTTCCAACAAAAATATTTTGATGTAATGGAAGAAGTTTTGACGGTGTTTAGCAACGTCCAAATGGACATTGTTAGGCAAATAAAAAAGAGAGGTTGCAACAAATCTGAATATGTTACAACTATAAAAGGGATTGCACAAAAGATGTGCTGTGTTCTGTCCTCATCACTTTTGTATAATCTGAAACACATTCTCCATGTTCTTCTAAAAGCTACAAAACATGATGTGGAGCCTCCATCATGGAAAGATATTATGAACACAGTCTACTCGTAAATACTATCCTTTTGTTTTTAGTGTACTTATTATTAATATAATAACTTTTAGGCACTTTTTGATTCAGTATCCCCTGCATGATTACAGTTCAGAATCATTTTGTCGCAATTTCCTTCTGTTTGAACGGTGGAAGGAGATTACGGCGGTAGCAAATCACAAAGATATGGAAAGGACGTTGTATTATCGTTGTCGTCAAACGCCTAAAAGTGTAAAAGCAGATGCAGTGATAAGTTCCATTCTTATGCCTTCGTCTATGGATTCCGTTACAGATATAGTTACGCATTTAATTAAAGGGAAAAGTGATGCCATTAAATCATACTTTGATTATATTGAAAAACAGAAAAAGAAATGTACTGCAGATGAGCCAGTTAGCTTGAACGACTTAAGTTTCTGTGATTTAGATGATGATTTAGAATATATGAGTCGTGTAAGTAACGAGATCTTTAATTCCTTAGAAAATCAGTATTAAAACGCTATCGTTTCAAAGAATCAGAATTTTGGATCCGCGTCATATTTCTCGAAACCTAAGAAGCTATTTGATACTATTTATACACTTTTTGTATTTGAGTTGAACTCTAATCGTTTTGTCTCTAAGATTCTTCATTTTATTTTAGGGTTCTGACGAGTGTTCAAAACTTTTCTATGACATCGTCAAAGATTATGAAAACGCTAAAATACAGGGTGTACCGTCAATTGATATAAATAATCATGGGATGAATGAGGACCTCGACGAAGAAGGAGATTGTATAGTGATAGATGATGACGACGTCTCGGAATGTAGACAGAGAGAAAGCAACTTGATCTGCGTCATAAGTGATTCTGACAGTGACTGTGAGATGGTCTATTTATCAGTGAGTTTATAATTATTTTTTATTCTTTGTTAAGGTTCTAACGATTACTGAAACTTGTGTTTCATATGTAAGATGAGACAAGTTTCAGTAATTGGCAAAAAAAGGAACGTACACCTACATATTCCTTTTCACTAATTTATGTGCTAACCCCGGTTCTGTCGAGGAATGGAAAAATGACTTATCGCCGCTAAAGAAGATTCTCTCTAAAAAATTAAGGGTAATCCATAAAATACGTCTCGCCTTTTCCAACTCATTTAAGATCCCTTGACTTCCTAATAATATTGCACCACTTTAATCGTATACATTTAATATATAGCCAAGAAGATTAGAGATAGGAGTAGAAACTGCATAACTTGTTTAATGTACGGTGTAAGTCGTAAAAGCATCACTAAGTTGTGCTTAATGGTTCGCTGCGTAGTAGGACAGTACGCATCCGCTACTGTACGTGGTCAAGATCAGTTTAATCATACTATTATGATATACATATCTTTTTATGAATAGGTCGACTTAACTATTTAGAAGTTTCGAATTAATACAATAATATTATTTGATCTTAAGTTTGGCCTATTGGTATTTCATCACGCTTAATTGTATTTTATATGTTATTTTTTATCAAACATTTGAGTCGATGGTGCTTAGTTCAATAGAAAATATTATTGAAAGTTATTAAAAGATAAATACACTATATAATAGATATTTTTTTGTTTTTACATGTTTGGTATTTTTTATTTTAAAACCGAAAGAGCGACGTCACGTTTTAAGTAACTCCTTCCTCGTTCTTGTCAGACTTTGTCCCGCTACCTATACCCCCTTCCCCCCAAAATGTGTAAGTATTTTATGGACAGCCCCTTATTTGATTCTTTGTGTTTCTTTACAATTAAATTATCTTTTTATTACAGAACCCAACTAAAAAGAAGAATCATACCAAAACCAAATCGATTAAAACTACTCCGTCAATTCCACAGTTGTGGTCCAAGACGTTTCCTGAACCTATCGGAAATGCTAGTTCTATTTCAGAAACAAACTCTTGTAGTGCACAGAGTGACGACCATGATGATGATATTCAAATTTTAGATAGTGAAAGTGTTTCAAGTATGGAACTGAGTAGACAGTCAGCTAAAGAAGATACTAGTATTTCTCTTAACAGGGCGCAAATTCAAAAAGGCAACAGTGATATTCGTGAAGTTTTAAGAAATTTAGTTGTAGTAAAAGATCCTGAACTAACTAATACCAATGACGAAATCGAAATCGAGAAATCTTTGTCTAGTATTAAAGAAATTGATCTCAATAGAGTTTCTACACCTGATAAAAGCATACAAGGTGATTCCAATAATCTTACATCAAATTTGTCCGACTCCACCACGATTCATGGTAAAAACAATGTTGAAGACGACAACTGTCATCATTGTAGTTGCTGCGCGAAAAATAAACTGACGTCTTCATCTTCCCTTCTCATATCTAGTAATCAAAATAGTGGTGATAACAGAGAAATTGAGAGAAACAAAATTGTCGAAGTTTCGACAGAAATAAGAATAGAAGGATTGGAGTCAATGACCAATGGGCATACTTACTCCTACGGTTTGATAACACCACCATCTGATCAACCAGCAGAAGGAAGTAGTTCACCAACATGTAACAATGTTTATGTCGAAATCTCTGCAACAGATAGTCCACGTTCCGTCGTTAACAGTGATTCTGAAGAAATTGTTATAGAGGATGATGAACCTTTTACAACTGAAGATGCAAGTGAAAATGAAAACGTCAAAGCAAAATATTCTGGCGAGAGTCCTGTAATTAAAGATGATAGTTCAAAGTGTGTTTTAAAAGAAAGAGAAGAAGTTAATTCAAATGTTATTAATAAAGCAAATCCTACAGAAAACATTGTACGAGAAGAATCAGGGTTAGATAATGAATCTGTTGGACAAAAAACAGAAGAGGTTGGTGAAAACATTGTTAATGAGGAAAATTGTGCTACAAATGAAAAAAATCACTCTGTTAATGTTTTAAACGAGAGAAATAGTACGACAGAGAAAAACGATGTTAGTGCAAATGACGAAATTGAAAATATCGCACTAGACGTTTCTGAAGAATCGATCATATTTAAAAGAAAACCTTTACCTAATAATGATCATAACATAGTCGACAGTTTAGAGGTGAAAGATGATAGTTCAAAATATGCTTTAAAGCCAGAAGGAGTTAATTCAAAAATTATTAATAAAGAAAATCCTACAGAAAACATTGTAGACAGTGTTAGTAAAGAAAAATCTAGGTTAGTCAATGAATTTGTCGAACAAAGAACAAAAATAGTTCATGAAAACATTGGGAATGAGGAAAATTCTGCTATAGATGAAGAAAATCATTCTATTAACGTTTTACACGAGAGAAACAGCATCACAGAGCAAGACGATGTTAGTACAAGTGACAAAATTGAGAATATTACCCCAAACATTTCTGAAGAATTGATCGTATTTAAAAGTAAAGGTCTACTTAACACTGATGAAACTGTAGTTGACAGTCAAGAGACAAAAGATGATAGTTCAGAATATATTTTAAGAGAGGAAGTTAATTCAAATGTTATTAATAAAAAAAATCCTATAGAAAACATCGTGGACAGTGTTAGTGAAGAAACATCAGAGTTAGCCAATGAATCTGTTGAACAGAAAGTAAAAGAAGTTGTTGAAAATATTGTTAATGTGGAAAGTTCAGCTACAGAAAATCATTCTGTTAATGTTTTAGACGAGAGAAACAGCATTATAGAGCAAGACGATGTTAGTACAAGTGACAAAATTGAAAATATTGCGCCAAGCATTTCTGAAGAATTGATCGTATTTAAAAGTAGACCTTTACCTAATAATGGTCAACGTATAGTTGACAGTATAGAGACATCTGTAATAGATAATAACAAACAAGCGACTAATGCACCACCGAATGTTGAAGAAATATCAGACGGAGTTGCTGAAACCAGTTTTTCCACCGTCGGTAGAACAAATGCAGAGTTAACAAATTTTCCTCAATACGTGATCATTGACGGTCAGCATTATGTAGTTAATAATGAAATCCAATGTGTTGATAATGCAGATTTGAAAAGTGACCAATTTCAGATTGCTTCAGAAGAAGTTTTAACCGATAAGAATTTTCGGAATTTTGTAGCAAACGGCGTGTACTTAGATGAAAACGGCCAAGAATGCTTTGTTGAAAACGAGGACAATATTCAGACCGTTATAATAGACGATGTGTATTATTCTTGTGAAAACGGCCTCCTCACAATCGAAGAAGTAAGTCATCTGAATTCTTCAAACGCTTCATCAGAAAATAATTCGGGGAATTTAGAAAAAGAGACGACAGAAAATGCATATAATTTTACCAACCTCGATCATCCAAGTAGTTCTAATAGTACTCCAAACATTAACCCTCAAGTCACTAAGGAATACCATAATACAAGTTTTAATGATGTTACCTCAACTACACCTTCTGGAACAATTTCCGAAGATATCAGCATTGAAGAAAAACATAAAAGTACAGAAGAAAATGTAATAACTCATCCAACTGTGAAGGAAGTATACCGAGCAGCAGATTCTCAAAAGTCAAAGTCTGCCAGCAAAATTATGTTCACTTCAACTGAATCCATTAAATTGACAGATTTCGACAAATTTGAAAAATCTGTTAATGATAATCTGGTTCATGAGCACAATGATTTGTGGGAAAGTGCATTCTCGGGACCGGTTACAAAATTAAATAGCAATTCCGGTGCTAATTTTCCAGGCGACGGTGAAGGAATGTACAGCTTTCAAGGTACTGTAGAGAAAAAGGATTCTTCAAAAAGAAATAAGTCAGAAGATATTTGTAGAAGTTATTCTGTCAGTCCTACGGAAAACTCGCCAGAATATGAGACCATAGAGACAAGCGATTTTAAAAAATACATTCAAGAAAAAGAAAACACCGTAAACACTAATAAAGAAAAGAAAATCAGTAAAGATCGTAAACAAAATTCTCTATTAATTCACTTAGATAAGTCTAAGATACCCGAATCGGTTTTGCGAAAAGCTAGAGAACAAAAAATTACCCAGAAAGCTAACGAGGAGATGCAAAGCATGCAAAATACTGCGAAAAGTATATTAAAACGTAAAAGTGTTAGTGAATCGGCTATTCCAAATAAAAAGAAAGCAACGGTTAGCCCAGCTATTCCTGAAGTTTCCTTCGATCCTTACAAGTCTGAACCAGAATATAAATTAAAAAAGAACGAGAAAGAGAAAACGGAGAGTTCTGCTGTAAAATCTCATAAAATTTCAAAAAAATCGTCAGAGACCGAGAAACAAAAGGCCATCGAAGTCGTATTTGGTAAATCAAAGTATATAAAATATAACAAGGAGCACTTCTCGGAAGAATCAAAACAAAAACTGGACGAAGAGCATTTCATAGGATTGAAGAACTTATCTTCTTATAAGAAACAACAAATAGCTTACAGTTGTGTTATCAGATACTACGGTAAAAGACAAAAAGTGTACGATCCCCAATTATTTGAAATGTTACCAGAGGTTTCCTTGCCGTTCTTCAACAAGACGGAATTGTTGAAAAAGTGGAACAGTCAACGTATGGAAAAGATCGACAAAGACCGATGGGGAAAACTCGAGAAGTATTTGAAGATTCATCACAAAGATCGCGGTATGAAAAGAAGTTGCATTCAAGAACGGGTCTTTTACGACAAAACGACCAACTCGTCGGAAGTTATAGTGTATAACGGCGGCGAATCATCCAGTCTGACATCATCACCGGGCTATTCCGGTGCTAAAAACTATAATTCAGGTAGGGACAATACTAGTCTGACAAAAGATAGTACTAATTTAACTTCGAATAATAGTTATAATAATAATTATACCAATTACGACGTAAACTTTCCCATTGCTTACAATCCTCAAGATGCATATTCCAACAACTCAATGTTACAGTCATGTTTTTATCAATCAGACATTTCAGAAATATGTGACACTTTGAAAAATTCCGAATTTTTTCCTTCTGATCCGTACGTTCCTGATGCTTGCGCTTCCCAGTTATCTGATAATAAAAACAATTCTATCATATCTGAAATAAATGATCAAAATCCTGACTTAAACATTTCCGAAGAAGACATGGTGTCAAGTTTGATTCCCCAGCTTGACGACATATACCTACAAGATAGTGATCTGTATAACTCATTGTTTCTTGCCCAAAATCAAAATTTAAACGCTTCAGTCTGTACTTCATCAGATATCAAGCAACATCTATCTCAATGTGTTGTCGAAAATTCTACAACAGATTCCTCTCATTCTACTATTCTTCCGGAAACGTTCCCCGATGTTCCTAAAGTCAATGCAACGTTACTTCAAGGAGACGGTGTTTATACCTCTTTCAATGATTCTTGTACTACACCTAATCCTTCTAAACTTCAAAATTCTGTGTCATCCACACAAAAATCTAATAATTTTTATTTAGAAAACTCTTCATATGGAAAAGTTATTCCTCATATAAAATCAAATGAAACCGTTCAGTTTTCCACTGTTGCCCCTCTAACAAAAGTTGTTGATGTATCTAAACCTTCTGATCATTGCGCTAGTCATCAGTCATTTTCTAAAATCGAAATACCTTCTTTTCAACCTGCATTGACAAATGCCGGCGAAACATGTACAATGAGATCACGTTTCAACACATCTTTGCCTGTTAATCCTGCTAAAAACCCGTCAAAACTTAGTAGCAAATCTGACGTTAAAAACCAAAATCTGGATTCGCCCAATTCAATTTCTGGACTTCCAATAACTGATAGATCACTGACAGCAAAAGATAAAAATGATGGTCACTACAAGGCTCGTTTTTCGCCCTCCAGTTCAAGCCACAATCGTGTGCATCATTTTTCGAATAAAAAAAATACATCACATCTTATAAAAGATCTTTTAAATATTAATTTCCTTTCAAGCAAAACTACTAATAAAACAAACAACAAATATGTAACAAGTCATAAAAACAAAGATAAGATCAAAAAACAAAATTTACCTGTCGATAATCGATTGCCTTTGTCCATCCGTAAAGAAAGTCCTTTAATAACTTCGTCCAATTCAGTAGTCCTTCCGGAGTCAGAATTTTCAAGTTCTCCGAAGTGTTTTCAAGAGCAAAAAGAAATGGTATTACGTTGCATCAATGAAAAAAGTTTAGAAAATGCTGACGAAGAGATTAATTTAAAAAATAACATGACTTTATTATCAGATCACTCAAATTTTTACGACAATCACGATAGTAGTATTGATTTATCAGTAAAAACTAGTATGCTTTCAAGTAGTAATATCGATAATTTTATTGCCAAACATTTCAATTCAGAAACTGATGAGTTTGGAATTAAAACTTTACCTTTGAAAAAACGACGTACATCTGCTTATAATGACAATTTACCGCAAAAGTCAACTCCTCTAAACCCTGTGAACGATGAAATATCCTATCCAGCAACTCCTATGATTTCTATTGCTGAGCTTGAAACATTGAGTGGTAGTTGTATGAACCAAACGCAAGGCCAAAAACTATTTAAAACGCCTGCTGAAAGGAAAGAACTACCACCACTTCCTGTAGTATATGGCCTAAATTCTGCAGAACCTACACCCATAATTGCTGATCAATTTAACATAAACAATCATACATACAACAATCCCACCATTAACTATCATATGAATAATGTTCCTGTACCATTTATAAATGTTTCTTATCCTCCTTATTATCACCCTGTATCGTCCTTTATTGTACCTGATGTTAGTGGTAATGGAGTATCAAATTTTAAAATGCCAGAAAGTATAACAGCAGTCAAGAAAGAACATTGTCACCAGACGAAAATGAAATCATCGCTCCCCTTTGTCAAATCGTAAATTTGTTTATTGCATCATATTTGACTGTAATAAGCATTTATTTTGTGAAACGTTTCTTAATTGTTTCTTGCTCAAACTGAACTTTTTTAATCAGTATTGTATTCGGATGAACTGAATTTTCTTGTCATACAATGTAAGTTTGATTGTGATTAAAAGTTAGACATTGTTGATTATTATCAGTTACCTTTTATTTCACTGAATGTATTTAGATCTAATTAAACTTAATCATCCTCCATCATCAAGATGCCAACAGTGAAAAAACCTATTTTTTTGAGAAGTCTGTGTAACATAAAAACTAAAATCAAGACAGAAGATGGACAACGCAGAACCTAAGAAGAAAGAAGAAAGTGAAGTTTTCTTGCCCGTTCAGTTAAAATTTAGTTAATTTTTTTAATTTCCATTACCTAGATTGACATTATTAAACTAGTAATTTATTTATTTGTTTCAATTATTTTCTCTTTAACTTTTGATTTACTTTTTGTTTGGTACAAAAATCCTAAAGCAGTATTTATTTCTTTAAAGGAAAACATCAAGAACACGTACAACAAACGGACAAACGTAGAGGCAACGGTGAGTGTTTTGTATATGGTTTTAATGAAAATTATTTTAATATTTTTCTTTTTTTCATAGGCGTTATTTTAGAAAAAAGTACTCCACCGAGAAAAAAACGAGGTAACTTTTTGTCCTTTTTATTTAGAAATGTCTGATAAAATTTGTAGTTTATTTTAATTGGTTATCATTAATAAGTTGCTTAATAAATGAGTGAAGTTGTAGCTCGTTGTATAACACTTTTGTTTCTAAAGCAATTACTTGTAATATGTAAAGTCATATTTGTTATTTTTGATTACATTAATGGGCATGGGGAGCAATTGCTCAGAATGTTTATATCTATTATATAATAAATTAAGAAGTGATGTAGTGTCTTTAAAAAAAGCTGAATCACAGTTTAAATATTAATTTGTAAGATTATGAAAGACTTTCTGTAGGGAATTTTTAAAGGTTTGGAATTTCTATGAAGGCAAGAAGGGTTAAATGATTTCAGATTATATATATTAAATTACTATAGCAAAAATTGAAGAACAAATTTCATGAAGTTTACGAGGCTGATGTTTTTAGGAAATGCCAGGAAATCGGTTTCGAATAAAAAGCCCGAACATACTGCAAGTGTTGCTGGCAGTTATCAGTGCCGAAATACCGTTTCAAATGACGTTACCTCATATGCAGCTGGTGGAACGACTTCCGAAGAAAAACCCGAAAATCGAACTTTCCGATCGATTGGGCCGAATTCTGATAATCGTAATTCTTTTAATATTTTAAACCTTAATCGTAAGTCGCAATTCAGAAACATTAGAAACGCCATTCACATACATAAATCTACTTTAGATACTTCAGATAAATTAAAAATTGGGACTTCTGACACCTATTATAGGAAACGAGATGCTAAACCATCACCAATTGCTACTTTTGCAGCAAACAAGGACAAGAATCAGTATGAATATTGTAAAAGGGCAAAGATTGAAAAGACACCGTGGAATGGTGCTTATTCAGAGTCAGTTACAAATTTGGACAGTTTTGATACAAATCACTGTTCTTATTCTACTACCGGGGATAAAGTAAGAGAAGAGAAGAAATCTTCATGTAGTATATTACATAAAAAAATTGAAAAGGTGAACCACAAAGAAATGGAACAGAAGTATAAACAGGCACAACACTTGGAGGTTTCCAATTCCAAAACTGCTCCAAAAGAAACTGTTGGTCGAGAAAGTAATAGAAAAAATAACAGAAAAGTCAGAGTGACATTCGGTGCTGTTATCGTTAATCACTATGATGTTGATAGTAATGAAATAAAAAATAATTCAAATGAGAAAGGAGAAATATTATCAAAAGGCAGTTCTTTAAAAACAACGACTGATATGAATGATATTAGTTCAGACAAAAAAAATCAAAAAATGACCACAAGCAGTGCAATAAAAAAAATTTTTGAAAATAAAATCAAAAACAAGACTCATAGACGAAAACGAAAAAGTCATAAGGAAAAAACATTTGATAAGGGTGTTATAACTCACAATAAATCAAAGAACGAAATTAAAAAGGTACCTTTAAAAAAACAAGATAATGAAGATTTAGAAGAGCATTTAAAAGATCCATTTAGTCTCTTAAAGAGCCATTCAACAATCGCGGGACATGAAACATTAACTAGTAATTCAGTAAACCAAAGGCAATCTCATAAACTTTTCAAAACGCCTGCTGAAAGGAAAGAGCTTCCACCACTACCAGCAGCTAGTGGTACAAATTCCACAAAATTACCTTCACATATCATAAATGACCGATCTAACAGTAACATTCCTGCAAATAACCAATCTAATAGTATTAATCATCACATAAATATTGTTCCTGTATCTGACAAAAATCATTTCTTACAAAGAGCAGAAATGCCAGTAATGTCAGTGGACCCTTTGATGAACCAAACGTATGCCCCTGACTTTTCGTCTAAAGAAAAAGATTTGTCCCCACTTCCAGTGCTATACAATTTGAGTCCCACTTCTAAATGTTATCAACCAAAATAACAATAATTTCTAAATGTTGATGACGATCATTGTTCTTATTGTAAAATGTATCACTTTCTCATTAAAATTGATAGATTCGGAACTAAAACTTTTCTTAGAAGAACGATGCTTGTTTAATTCGGGTTTTGATGATTTTGGCGTAGCAAGAAGGGAAATATGAAAAATGAATTGGTATTGGTCGAAAGGACACGATGAGATTCCAATGTGATGTCAAAGGTCAGATTTTGTGATAGTTCAGGTATGAACAGTAATAATTTGGAATATACGTAATTGTTATAATTTGAATTTGCTATTAATTTTCTGATATATGAAATTCATTGTTAACCCTTCACGCTTTTTAAATTGTATGTATAGGTTGTTGATAGGAGTTTTAAGAAATAAAAAACGTATGCAGCTTTTCGTGGTGAAAATTTCGTCCTATAAAAATTCCTTATGTTTACGTAAAATAAATTTGATATTTTTTTAATGTGGTAATGGAGTATCAA